TAGCTCGCGCGCGCGCTCTCTCTCTCTCTCTCTCTCTCTTTCTTTCTCACTACCTCTCTCCTTCCCTCGCTGTTCCTCTCTCGCTCTCGCTCTCCCTCTCTCATTACACGTATAACGCCGTGGCTCACAGCCCGCCGGGAAAATTCCAGTATACGACAACGTGTGACGCTGAACATATGTTACAGTTTACGCAATTTTCAGTGAAAGTAATTTACCCCTGCAATCGTTGTTAGGACCCTCTGAACACGACAATTCGCGAGAAGCAGAGGCGTGATCAAATGAAAGGTTCCGTGTGTGCCTTGCGACTTCAGGCTATCGCGTGCGCCGGCCCCAAGCCGCACGGATGAATGGCACCGCAATGTACGGCTGATTTATCATTAGATCGCTCGACTAGCACCATAAGGCCGTTCATCGATCGCCGACGGATCCATCCGGGAGTCTTGCATCGAGTAGAGAATGCAACGAGAAGAGATACGACCACACAAGCAGAGCGACGCTGCGCAGAGATGGCGTGAAGACAGGACGAACGGTGGCCAGCGAACACTGTTGTTGATAGTTGCCATGAGATACGCGTTAGCAGAGCTAATTAATGTACGTGCAGTCGATGACACACCTGTTTTCAAACGAAAGGTGGTACACCTCACAGGCACTTGGAGCGTTTCAATAAAATATAATCAAGAGCGCATTAACGCCAGTCAGTGTCAGTGTCAGTGTGCAGCAGCTAGCGTGCGGCGGCCAGCGTGTGTTGCAGATGAGCATTTGCACGGCATTTACAGGAAATTGTCGGCAATAATAGGTGAAAGAAAGTAGAGAAACATTAACATACAGACTTTGGTAGTAAATAGATTTCGTATTTATTTAGCATTATATTTTATTGAAACGCTCCAAGTGCCTGTGGTCCACCTTATGTTTAGTACACACTAATGTGAAAACATCTGATGTGCAGCACACAACTGTGACAAAAGAACTCATATCTACGTCCACATTAGAGTGACAGAAGAACCAATGCATAGGTCCACATCGGAATGAAAGCGAAACTGATATCTATAGTGCATGGCAGTGTGGCAACACGAAATTTCTCGTAGATGGCAGCGTGACAATCCACCCGATGCATAGTTCACAGTAATGTGAAAACGCGCCTAATATACAGTACACGGCTGTGTAACAACACACCTAACAGTACCTTGGAGTAATCATTGGAAATATCGAATATGATAATCTGATATAATTAATTCAAGTTCAATCTGATTGTGTAATTTCGTTTAAACTGCATCGTTTAATATTTACAAGAGTCGACGGAAGGATAGAAAATACTGCAGAATTTACGCTAAAAATTTATTCGCTAGGAAGTATCAGTAGTATGATTTTTCTGAAAATGGTCTTGGACAAGATTTTACAATGAAGACTAATATTAGGATTAAAAATTGTTATGACACACCCCTATTGTTATGACACACCCCTACTTCTCTACCATTCCTAATTTCCTATGCACTGATGGTATTTTGGAATGAATTCGTATAGTATGAATGCTGAATATGAGCACAATAATGTAAGGCCGCTTATATTTCTGCTGGTATTATTGACACACGATAGTGGGCGCTATATATGGTAACGTAAAATGAGCTTAAAAGTCAACAGAAAAGCAATATAGCAGCAATCGCAAGATTTGCAGTTTTCGTTTACAGTTTTTCTACGACGACGAAATGGCACTCGGTAAACGTTTCGAGGACTTGTGAAAGTAATAAATGGTGAACCGGGCCGAAGTCACGCGAGTTCAATCTGCCGAGCACACACACGAATAGCGTAGTTTCATATTGTTACATGATCACGAAACGCGAACACAGCCGATTTCCCCAAGTCACATGCTCCGTAGGTCTTCATCATTTATAATACAAAACGTTATTAGTGTGGCTGCAAGTGCATGACGGCATGTCCAGTGGAAGAGAAATAGTGAAAAAGTTATAGTGAAATAAGTATACACAAGACATAAAACGACCTAAATATTTTGGCTATACTCACTCAGACTGTCATATTCTAGTTGAATTACAATGTTGGCGATTTTCAACCTACTCGCACATCCACCCGTGCACACCTACACACCAAATAAACGCACCATGATCTTACACCAACGTCCACGCGCCCACCAACCAGTACACCACCCCTCCCTCGCTAACGCCCCCGCCCCCACAAGCAGCTTTCAGAGGGTGGCGAGATGCTTACCGTGAATTTCTCTGAATGTCTAAAGTCCTCATCGAGGTACACCCGCAGTCTGTCGTAGCGCTGCAGTTCTGGGCTAGCTAGCAGTAACCTGCAATCCGACATGGACAGCGTTATCGTTAGCAGGTAAACGAGGTAAAGCAACGGTTTATTCCCAGTTGGCCTACACCCATTTCGCCTACTCCCAATTCGTCTACGCTCAAAATCTACCCCATTCCCATTTCATCTACGATCGGTTTGTTCACTAAATGATCATTTATAAATAATAAAATGTGGTTTTGATTGGCATACATAGACTACAGGAACCAGAAGAAAACATAGGTACAAATAATGATAACACAACTTGACAAAAATAGAAAATACAGTAGCATAAAAATGAAACAACTGAAGTAAGCGAAATGGGAATATTGCCGATTCTGAGAGTAGACGAAATGGGAGTAGGCGAATTGGGTGTAGGCGAAATGGGAGTAGGCGAAATGGGAGTAGGCCAACTGGGATGTTACCCACACTACCAAAGCAACGTACCGCGCGTATAGACGCATGGGTCTCACAGCTGCCTGGCGCGTCTCACCACGCTTGATCCATGCGAATTCTCCGTGTACATGTAATCAAGAGTCCATAATAGAAGACTATTATGGACTCTTGATGTAATCAAGTGTACGTGTACGTGTATTTTACCTGTGAATTCCCCGTGTACATGTTATGTACGTGTACGTGTATTTTACGTGCGAATTCTCCGTGTAGTTGAAGAAGGCTTCACGCGAAATTCATATCAGCATTGACTTTACGGTTGTATATTGCCTATGCAGGTTTTACAGGCAAGAAAATCGGATTATATAAATTCAACGTATTCTGATCATAAAATTATACAAACAGGACAAATGTTTTCAACAACTTTTCATTAAATGGTTTACTTCCGTTCACAGCAGCGATGTTTCCTTGTTGCAATACTGTCTTAACGAGCACCGTGGCATGAACCCAGTGTCTACTTTTATCTCGTTCATCCCAAACTGCTGAGGTTGGGCCAACATTTCGTTTAAGCAAAAATAAACATGATATAAATGTTTATAATTTTCCTCGAAGCCAGCGTTCCAGGTAAAGTGCAATGAGTTATTTATTTGCGCGGCTACTGCGGTAATTTATTGAGAGAAAATGTGCTGCAGATGTCGCGAGAGAGCTTCAATGGAACGAATGTCTCAGCGAACGAGCTAGCGGAATTGGATGTATCAAACTATTTACAACTATATCATTGTTTGTGGTTTGTCCGAAAAACCTTGTTTAGAAATGCTCGATTACAAATGAAAAATGTACTCACTTCACAAAATCGTTGACGAATTGCATACATTCCTCGAAGTTTTTTCCTCCGACCTCCTGACAGTGCATGGCCAAAAACTTGGGCTTGTGGATTGCAATCGCCTGGAACGAGCAAATTCGACACATCACATTAGAACAACGTAGTCACACACAATTTGACATACCATATTAGAACAACATGGTAACACACAATTCTACATACCATATTAGAACAACGTAGTAACACACAATTTGACATGCCATATTAGAACAACGCGGTAACACACAATTCGACATGGTTCCAGATACGGACACAAGAAAACTGTTGAATTTCTGTAAAACGATTTTCTCTTTATTCCACACGTCCAACCATGCTAACAGCTCAAACCCAAAAAAGAAAGAAACACAGACCTGTAACGCGTAATCTTTGATTGTAAGCCGTGATGCAATATGAGGCGACAACACGTTATTATTGAAGCCTCATACATTCATCCGAACAGCTGAATGATCAGCAGCTTACAATTTCAACTTACAGCCTCACAGATACGTCACACCAATCAACGACGCCACTAGTAATATTAAACTATGATTCGCGAACGAGCTTTTAAACGAGACGAACGCGATGGTCAGACATCTCACCTATAAATTCTCCACAACGCAAAACCGCGGTTAATTGAGTAGTAATTAGATGACGTTAAGTGCACCGTCCTGTTACGCCGACGGGAAATTTAGTCTCCAACGTACGAGACTACGGCAAAACCTCATGCTTGTAATCACGGAGATTAACTCCGTATATACGCTCCCAACTTGTTTCTCGCCGGCGAATGACGTGTAGGAAAAATCCAATTCGCTCGCACCCTGTGTCAAGAGCGAGCTTCTTGAAAGTATTTACACTTGAATTACATGCAATCCCCGGTCAAACAAATGGTGTTGCCGCGGTTTTCGGATTCAGAGGAAGCCATCGTTAATGCCACTCGAAGCAAACTAACCGAATAAAATGCATTAAGATAACGCCATTACGTCATGCGCAGACTGTCGGTAGACCTATCACTGCTAAATACGGCACACGCACTCGCTATCCCCATGCAATTCGAGGGGGCTTAACAGCGGGATGGCGGATTAGCAGTCTAACGCCTCCGGGAGTGTTAACGGGAGGCTGATCGTCACGGAAGCTTCACGCGTGTGGTCACGAACTCGTGCCTTCATGAGAGAGCTGCAGCAATCAATGGCCCATGGACTAAGTGCTGCGCGGTGCAGGCAGGCGACGGAGGACAGATGCTGATGTATACAACGAGGTGCAAACTCACGCAAACACGCACACATGAATAACCACAGGGAAAAGGCAAGCACGCAGGTACACACGCACGCAATTGCATACACACGTGCGCTCATACCCACACCGTACACACACACGCGCACACGCACGCACACACGCACGCACGCACGCACACGCACGCACGCACACACACCACACACACACACGAGCGCACGCACGCACCGCACGCACGCACGCACGCCTGCGCGCCGATGAATACTACGCTCATGCTTCCCCTACGCCGGATATGAATACAGCTAGGAATCTCTCTCTCTCTCTCTCTCTCTCTCTCTCTCTGTCTCATCTCTCTCTCCTCTCTCTCCTCGCTCTCTCTCTCTCTCTCTCTCTCTCTCTCTGCTCTCTCTCTCTCTCTATCTCGCTTCTCTCTCTCTCTCTCTCTCTCTCTCTCTCTCTCTCTCTTTCTCTCTCCTCTCGCTCTCTCTAAATCGTCTCGCTTCGCTCTCTCGTCTCTCTCTCTCTCGCTCTTCTCTCTCTCTCTCTCTCGTTCTCTCTTTCTCTCTCTCTCTCGCTGCTTCTCATCTCTCTCGTCTCTCTCTCTCTCTGCTCTCTCTCTCTCTCTCTCTCTCTCTCTCTCTCTCTCTCTCTCTCTCTCTCTCTCTCTCTCTCTCTCTCTCTCTCTCTCTCTCGCTCGCTCGCTCTCTCTCTCTTTCGCTCTCTCTCTCGCTCTCTCTCTCTCGGCCGCCTTTTAATTTAATTATCTCTTTCCAATGGTAGCCATCACATATCAGGGATGACAACAAGAATGCATGATCACAATGAATGCATCAATATTCGTGTCTTCATTAAAAGTTTCACTAGAGATTCTAAATCCGCAACAACATCTTTAACCAAAACAATTGGTACACTGGGATTAAAAAAGCAGTTATAGTGAGATCTACAAATCGTAGTGTTATCAAATAGGAAATATCTGTTGCAATAACAGTGCGATATTAATAAGGCCGGGGAGTACATTTAAAATAAAAATAAAAATAATCGGTAAAGTATATTATTTCATAGAACGAATCCTTTATCCATACTATTACTCTAACGATATTACACTCTATGACTCGCCATTATTAACGCTTTTTTTCATACAGTCTGCGGCAAGAGACACCAAACGTCAAGCACCCATATGATAACGTTATGCTACAGTTCAGTTCAGCACAACAGACGCTGTTTACACCTATAGCAAGTCACGTGACATCAGAAAGCAATCCGATTGGACTACGGGCACGGTCGCGGTCACTCGGAGTTTACTCGATAAAAACCTAGATTGTTCGGCAAATGTCGGAGCGAAATGAGGCTATTAGCGCAACAAGCGCCGCAGCGAGCCGCATACACGTCAACTAATCAATCGATGAAGGCGTCCCCGATAGCGGATACTGACTGCAGTGCTCTACGTGCAACGCACAGAACCCCCCTCTAGCGCACAGGCACTTGGAACGTCTCAATAATATAAAATAAAGGTAAATAAACAGAAATGTATTTACTACCAAAGTCTTAATGTTTCTCTACTCTATTTCGCCTATAATCGCCTGTAAATGCCGGTCAAATGCTCATCTGCAACACACAAGTACACCGCACGCTAGCTGCTGCACACTGACACATAAATATATTAGATTATATCGCATTTACAGGTGATTATAGGCGAAATAGAGTAGAGAAACATTAAAACTTTGGTAGTAAATACATTTCGTGTTTATTTACCTTTTTACACGAACCAGCAGAGCACTGACGATTCTCCAGAAAGAAAGAGAGAGAGAGAGAGAGAGAGGGAGGGATGGATGGATGGAGAGAGGGATAGAGGGAGAGAGAGAGAGAGAGAGAGAGAGAGAGAGAGATCGAGAGAGAGAGAGAGACGGAGGGATGGATGGATGGAGAAAGGGATAGAGGGGGAGGGAGGCAGGGAGAGAGAGAGAGAGAGAGAGAGAGGAAGGGTTGGAGAGGGAGGGAGGCAGGGAGAGAGAGAGAGAAAGAGAGGGTAAAGCAATTAGGAACTGCAGCTTTCGGTGGAAAATTGAAAAAAATATTTCAATAGATGCGGGGAGATAGCCTGGACGTTTTTTTTCATCAGCTATCATTATTTCATGGACGACGTAGAAACACTGCGAGCAGCTTTGTTTCCGTCTTCCACTCGATGTAAATTTAGACCGAAACGTAAACTGAACTGCTGAGAAGCGAGAAGCCATACAGTCTGTGGAGTAGGCTGTATAGGGGAGCGCCACCATGCAAGCTGCGAACACGCGCGACGTACACGCACGCACGTACGTGCACGTACAGATCCAGGCAAACTATATTTACAAGCTAACAAACTATTTACATTAATTACGTTTGCAAACATAAACGTTAATTAATTTCGTGAAGAGCAATTAAGCAACGGCGCGGCCATCGTTTAGAGCTACTGCTCATTCTAAAAGTTCAAAACATTCCCGGCTGCAAAGACTTGGACTCGTAGACTGAAATAACGAAATTACATCAATCGAAGAGTATTTGCGAATAAAAGAGAAAACTGCCACCGCTTCCAACTTGCCCTGAGGATTTCGACATTCCAGCACACTTGTAAATATTCAACTAGACGTTCATAAAGTTCGGACTGCGCCACGGACACGCGCGGTTCGTGACGACGTGCACTCTTAATGAAGATGAACTCATCGCTTGCTACCTCAGAATGGATGCTTTTAACATGCAATACCGGCACTTGTCGAGAGTACCAACACTTTTCCACGACTGACGTGGCGAAAGACAGATCAGCGAGAAAGATTGCAGCGACAATTTATTGGAATGGCCGTTGCGTCGCATAATACCCGCAAATTCCTATGAAACGATTTCCGATATACGTTTCCGCTTCGTTCGGAGATTTTATATGAGATGATGAATGACCCGTATCATCTACTGAAACCACGCTGATGGTGGGGATCAGGGTGGACGTGAACAAGGGCGCTGGAGTGATAACGAAACTCTATCCCGACATCACATCACATCACATCAAGAACTAATAATACATGTATAATTGTATATATGAGTTGATGATGTATATGCTTGTATGATGTAGTATACATGTATGATTGTATATAGGTTGATGATGTATATGATTGTATGATGTAGTATACATGTATGTTTGTATATAGTTTGATGATGTATATGATTGTATGATGTAGTATACATGTATGATTGTATATAGGTTGATGATGTATATGATTGTATGATGTAGTATACATGTATGTTTGTATATAGTTTGATGATGTATATGATTGTATGATGTAGTATACATGTATGTTTGTATATAGTTTGATGATGTATATGGTTATATAATGTAGTATACATGTATGATTGTATATAGCTTGATGATGTATATGATTGTATGATGTAGTATACATGTATGATTGTAATATGGGTTGATGATGTATATGATTGTATGATGTAGTATACAAGTATGATTGTATATAATATGTGTTTATCATGTATATGATTGTATGATGTAGTGTATGATTAACTCTTTATCGCATGCTACTACTCAAAGTGCGCGCAAAGTGGCGATTATTTTCTAAATCGAAGGACAAAATGTGCAAGTCGTATATGAATCGAGATGCAAGTCACGGTCTAGCTTATTTGTGATACGAAGCGGCGAGCAATTATAGAGGAAGAGAAAAGCTTAATGATCGACGTAGAGACGAGGAGCGTGTGCAGACCCACGCCTGCACATTTCCGACCCACCGCACGTCTGCCTGTCTCATCGTCTAGCATCATTAACTAGCATCCACAATTCTGCTCATTCGTTTTCGCGATAACAAGCTAAAGGCAGAGCCTATCTAGAATGCAATCGCTCAGGCAAACGCGTGCGCGACTATGATACTCGCCCGATTACACTCATAATTGCTAATAAAACAGAGCTGATGAAGCCGTGGAGGGCTTCACAAGAGACAGACATACACCGCGCTCCAGCTGCTAAGCAACCGCGGCGATGAAGATCGAACCAGCAGTTCTGCAGGCGGCAGAGCGAGTCGGCGGCACTAACAAACGCATATTGCTCATGCATCGACCAATCTAATCTATATTTCAGTTCGTATGAATGTATGTATGTATGTCCCCTATGCCCGGCCAAACCGCCCAAGTGATCTGGATGCAATTTTCAGAGGGCCATTTCCTATACCACTAGGGAGTGTTCCTAGACGAAAAAAAAATTTAAAAAGTCAAAAAGTTAAAAATTGATAACAATTCAATAGATGGCGGTGCGTACAGATTAACATGACGTACGTGTGAATCCATGGTGTATACTCTTAACGGCGCAGTGGCCTAATCGCCAGAACCAACACCGTACCTATCCGCTTCGAATTCGCCTACGATGCACACAATTCCAGACAATATTTTACAGACAACACAGACAGCCCCTTACCACGGCGCCTGATGCCGCCAAGAATGCAATTTTCTCGTGTTTAAATACTTTGAGTTACGGCGATAACAAACGCATTCCTGCACTGACACATCAAACTCACTTCAACAGCAGCAGCATCTCAACCTACCAACCATTTACAACTAGCAACGCATTGCGACTTCTCTAGCAAAGCACGCCAACGATGTCTCCGGTCTCTATAACAATTCATCACGGGAGGAATCGCCCGCGCTGTGCCCCATCAATCTTAAAACAAAGCATCATCGATAATTAAAGAGTTGCGCGAGTCGTGAGTGCCTATCTCCATGATTTCATTGCTCGAAGCCCGTGTAGTCGTGTAACTCTATATGCAGTAGCAAACTGTACGTACGGCATTACCCCTCCACTCCGACAGCTGCATTCATTCTTTACCAGACAGCGGGTGGATGTAGTTACCGTATGCCATGCTGTGAGGGAGTCTTTAGGGCTTCGCGCGCGATGTGAGGGTGTGAACATTATTTCTTATGACGCAGTCGCTGCAATATCAGCACCTAGCTTAAATCATTACATTCCACGATGATACAGAACAATAAGCTATTGTCATGGATCGATGGAGTGTTGAATAAGTTCCGGAGCAAGGCAATTATGAAACCAGATGCAAACGAGTTTTTACACTAAGCGATTCGCTGGTCACTAATTGCTGGTACACGGCGGGAGGCTGTGATCAGACAGAACATGGCTTCCTGCTTTGTAGCAGGCTATAGTAAAATGGGTTCCTCAATCATGGGCGGGAAGATGCGGTTAGCTTCCTACATCTTGGCAGGATGTGGTCAATGTATGAGTAACCTCCGAAATTTTGGGAGGATGTGGTGATCAGGTGTGAACTGCTTTCAATA